CAAAGTTTCAGACCATAGTCTTAGGATAGAAATAGTTTGTTAAATAATTTCAGGCCTCTTTTCCTGGAATTTAATGAGTACAAACTGTCTTCACAACAACATTTCCCTTATTAATAGTTAATAATCGTCCATTAAAATCTCCAACTTGGGCAAAGAAATCGGAGCTCCTGCCAACACTATTCCTAACAATATCCAACTTGCAACCCATCGTTGTCACATTTTCTTTTGTTTCCCTTCGATAATTTGTCATAAAAATTGATCAAACAACCCGGAATAATGACAAAATGCAATTTGCATGTCATGAATCGCCGCCCCACAGCCCTTCGCCTACCCCCATATCATTTATCCTTGAAGGCATTGCATGTGTGTCGTGGATAAAACAGAGGGGAACTGGTACACAACGACAGGCAGTCACGATAAACCATTTACAATATTTATTTATTCATAACTCACCGAGTGGAATTAACTTTACATACACAAGATGGCTCGGTTCAGTTTAGTTTGGTAATAGTTCGGTCGGATTTAGTTTGGGCTCATTTTTCGTTCAGCATTAGCCCTGTTGTTTCATGTCGGGCCACGATTTCCTTGGATTTGCGTACACAAATTGAAAATTGTGGGTAGGACAGGTGGAGGTGTAACTCTCTCCAGAACCCTGACGTGATTCGTAGTCATAACTTGGTCATATTTATTGACTCTGCAGGGCCTAATCAGAGAAGGGAAGTTGGGCGGCGAATTCCCATTACCAATTCTTGTTTATGCATCGAAAACAAATTCAAAAATTGAATTTTCTGCCTCTCTCTTTTGGGAATCTAAACAGTCGAGTCCAAGTGCCTTCTTCCCCATAGCTGGCCTGTTCAAACAACATCCACATTGCCGGTGCTCTTAATGTTTGGCCAATTGTCCCAGGTAGACGGCAGACGACAGACGGCCAACATTCGATGGTCGATGGTCTGGTCGACAGTCGACAGTCGACGGCCAACTGCCGGCAGCCGGCTTGTGCTGCCTCTTCCTCTGGCGATGGCTCAAGCCAAAGATGGGACAGGTGCACCACCGACTATAAGAACACTCACAGAAAAGAATCCCCAAATTAAGGAATTTATTTGAATTTTCTACCCCATTTTCACTATTTCAAAATGGAGAAAAAAACTCCTTTAAAAATGCATATTTACGTATAATCATAAATGGCTAATAACATTCATAATGGAAATCAATTAACAAATATTTACAAAATACGTATTGCATATTTTTTAGTTTTTCTAATAGACAACACATTCGCAAACATTTAATTTGTTTCTTTTTCAATGCCTTATCAAATTTTCTTTAATTAGGAAAGATAATGAAAGATAATAAAGAATATCTTTAAATTTTTAAAAATATTCAAGGAATTTGATCCGTTTTTAAGAAATTAAAATTCTCCCAGTGCAGTCGTACTTTGTTATGGTTGTAATAAATTCAGGAAAAGGGAAGCGTACTTGCTCACAAACACAGAAAGAAAACAACACGCGGCACAAAGTCAGGTGTTTTGGTCTTTATCAAGGCATATGCTCTATGTATTTCCCTGCGGTTTTTTTTCTTACTTTTTTTTAGAGGGTTACTTTTTGGGCAGGGTGAACGGACTGAGGCGAGTGTTTCGGAAACCAGTCCGTCGACAGTCCAACTCCAACTGCAGCCCAAGTACTTGCAATTGCAATTGCCAGAAGACAATGACAATGGCTGTGGGGCCCAGACAGTGGAATAAACCGAGAGAATTCCGACCAGTCAGTCCAGTCATTGCGGCACTTACTCGCCATGAGTTTGCCACTTTTTTGGGTTCCATTCGGCATTCTGCATTCTGCATTCTGCTGGCCCCACTGGACAATGGCAATGACCACGACCAGTCGGGCGCATAATGTAATAAACAATCATAGAAATGCATAATGCATGTCAGATTAAGAAATTATTAGCCGCATGCGAGGAGGGAATGCAGTTTAAGGTGCAGTTAGGGGTCTTCCCCCAAAGGATGTACTTAAATGGAGGGGAGTTCCTATTCTATGTTCTGGGGAAAGCCACTATTGTCCTTGGTAAATTAAGGAACATTTATTTTTATATATTTTATGTTATTATCATCTTGATGCCATAGCCTAATGACACTTTCACATGACATCAGAAACATTTACCTTTTTTTTACTCACTTGTCTCCACTTGGTAATCTTCCACGTTCAATGCGCTTTGACTGATTGGCTAATGCAGAAAGATCTAATGGTCTCCCCATCTGGATTCTCTTTCAAGCGCAAAACTACAGGATGCACTAAGAGCTCCCCTACTTTGCCAGGCATAATAGAACAAAAGTCTGTCATTCAGGGCAGCTGAGTTATGCAAGTAGTCTATCCAAAGCGACCCGAACTGAACGACATAAAGAGCAATAATAGTGGGTGGATGGGTGGAGATACTATATAGCTATAGTTATAGCTATACTATAGTATAGTATCTGAGGGGTTCGCAGATGGGAGAGACAAATGTTGACGGCCATGCTTCAATGCGTGCGCAGCGGCGAATGCTTCCGTTTCCGTTCTTAATAGCTTTATTGTGATTTACTCAACAACAAACAGTAGGGCCAACGCCAACTACAACAATAACAATATCAGCTGCAATGAGCGAAAGCAATCAACGGAATTACAATAGCGTTAAAAAACGACAACAACGGTTGTAACGACGATAACTGATAAAAACAGCATTCAATGATTGAGAACAATTGAGGAGAGAAAAGTTAAGCCCCCAAATAAAGGAAAGGAAATTTAAATGGTGGAAATTACTTTAATGGGCCAGGTGAGAATGGTCGTGTCGTGTACAAAAGACCGGAAAATATGTTAAAGATACGTGACCCACCTTATATAAACTTAAATTTGATGGCTGACTTTTCAAGGCTAGCAAAAAGCTAACAAACAGCTCACAATCGACCAGATAAAAAAATCGACTACCAACTTTTAAGGCCACTGGGTGAGCTGCAACCCTTTTTTGCATAACTCTTGGGCTTTGAGGAAGAGGGGGTGCGTACAGGCTGTCAATCAAACCAACTACATGAACCACCCGCTTATGACTCGACAACACTTCAAAAAATATTATCTAAGTATTAAAAAAAATGGTTATAACACATTCAAGAATTAAATATTCTTTATCAGAAGACTTTTCAAGAACGTATAACTCCTGATTACTTCAGAAACTTGTAACTGGCCTAACTTAATAATTATAACTTATATTCAGTAAACTATTTATGAACTTTAAGACCGTTTTAAAGGTTCAAAAGGCTGAAAGAAATCTACATTTTTTTATACTCTATAAGCTCCCTGAGTTTGTAAAAGTGTAAGGCCCTCCCCCATAAACGGTCAACGTTCTTCAGCTTACGTCACACAGAAAAAAGACGGCCACAGAAAACGGAAACCTCATCCAAAACTGAAACTTGAATGCTTCGAATTGGTGTTGTCTCACTTTATGCCAAATTATATGGGCTACAAATGGGGTACATAAGGTGGGCAGGAAGCCCGGGATATAGCCAGGTTCTGATATACCATACTATATAGTTGATGTGTCAGATGGTGGATATATATGGCATATAGAAGAGTGGTTGCTTTGTTGCTTGGTTGCGTTTCAAATGCTCAGCCAGGTGAGACGCGTTTTTTCTGTTTTTTCTTGTTGTCTGGGCCGCCAACTCAGGTGTGACAAATAATTATACATACCTGTCTGTATACAGGTATAAGCACATACATTCAGTCATTTTTAAAGAAGCTCAGCAGCAAAAGTTCATTAAAAGGCGCACAATTTCCACTGGTAAAAAGAGCAAACGAGTTGTAGTAATAACTCCAGCGAGCCCAACACAAAACACTTTTCAGTGAGTTGGGTTCTGTGTGTCTGGAGTTGTCAACCTTTGCCGACACTTTTCTGACTCATTAATACCGCCGAGGTTGAGGCGAAATTTTTCAATTAAAAAAAGGAGCACTCCAATTGAGCTGCTTTCCAGGCTGCCTGCAGTTCCGATTAGATTGTCGGACATCAGACCGAAGGCCAAATAGCGGAAAATGCTGGAAAAACTGGCCCACCAGTCGCCAGCGGGGAGCTGTGAAAATGCGACTGGCCATGGTCCATGGTCCATGGTCCATTTTCCATTTTCCACGTGTGTGTTCTGGCCCCTCAGCCAATTGTGCAGCAATTTGCGGCACTTACGCCGCAGGGAAGCCAAGAGTGTGTGTGTCTTTGGGCCAAGGGAATTCGGTTTTTCGAATTCTGTATTTACTAGCCCTGAGTTTTTGGGATTGTGGGATTGAGAGGAAGGTGGCCAAGTGCCAGGCTCCCACTGAGGTCCAATCAAGTTAAGCGGTTTACCTTGGAGATCAAAGAAAGTCAGAGATAATGGCTTAGCCAGCTGTGTGAGAAAAATATACTCAAAGCCCTTGAAAGAAGTGTTTGAGCTTTAGAAATAATATTATAACTAGATAGTGTTTAAATGGGAGTATATATAGTTCTTTAAATAATGTTTTATATAAACCCTGCTGGAAAATGCAAATTCACATTACTCATTTATGAGCTCATTAGCAGCATTTGTAAAATATGGTCAGCATTATTGTAATGCAAAATCCATCATCATGATTAATGCTGTCACTGGCCGAAGCTCTAAATTAAGTTGGTTAGCTCATTCGACTTGCGGTTTTCCAACTTTCATCTATCCATCAATCTGCATCGGAACACTTATCTATTTGCGTAATTTATGACTTCCTGCACATTTGCATTCGAGATTAAGCTATCAAAAGAGCAAAAGCCGCACGGCTTCCAATAATTACAACACACTCAAGGCAAATGAATATCCAATTGTTTTGATGAATCTTAAAATGTGCTTCAATTAATTGATTGCCCTGGGTCTTTACATGCATAATAATATATTTGGCTTACGAAGATCACAGCCATATGTAAGCCGTTATGTAAGTGCCCGAATTCGAGATCAATTTTATTCCATTTTTATAAGTACTCACCTTGGCAAATAAAATTTATACAAATGATCGGGGTTTCCGATAGCAGCCCAATTAGAGTCTGAAAACATAGAGATAAAGACAGGTGATTAAGGAAAGCTTGTTAAATCCAGTTTTAATAGTTGAGTAGAGCTGAATGCAGTAGTGTTTAAATAAAGGTATTATAAGAAATGCGTTTATATTATTGGATTTTAAAATAAATCCATTATCACAATCTTAAAAATATTTTCTAAGTTCTAAAAGTGGGGCAATCCTTAAACTATCTTCCATATAATGGCCCTCTTTCAACCTTTCGCTATTGAGAATACTCCAAAATCTGGAACCATTTCCCCCCCCTTTCCTTTCCATTTGCTTTTACCAAATACCTCTCCCTCCCTGATTTCTGCAATCCGGAATCCCCTTTGCCTTTTAGTTTTATTGCATTGCAATTGCAAAATGCTCTCGCCAGGAGTTCAATTCAATTTATCTTTGATTTTCACGGCACTACGCGAGAATCCACTCCATTTCGCTGCCACCACACCTGTGTATGTCGGTTTGATTAATTTTGTATATTTTTTGAGCTGGCATGGAGGACCTGAAACGTGCAGCATCTTTTGCTCGCAATTTAATTGCCCGCCTTTTGAGTCCCGGGACTAATTACAGTTTTTACCTAGTATCCATAGTCCAAATCCTTTTTAGTAAATTACATTCGCAATTAGCGACCACCGAAATCAATTTGCGTTCCCATCCCCAGTTGCCATTGTAAATTTCGTTTTGCTCCTCGTAAATTCCTTCCTTTGGCGGCGGGCAACTGCATTTATGCAGCAGGCCCCGAGAATCCGGCAGGAAAGTGCAGCTGACAAAGGATCCCCACCGACTGAAATTGGTCGCAAAAAGTAGCTACAAACCGGGGAACAACAGGGCCAGTAGCTAACAACCAAAAAATACATACACTCAAACTACCAAACTAATTTTATTACAGGCACCACAGCCAAAGGGCCCCCACAGGAGTGTCCTTGTCCCCTTGTCCTATTCCTTTTACCATGTGAAAACAATGTCATTTTTACACTTGGTCATTTTGGACCAAGGCTCCTTTGCTGCCCCCTCTCTTATTTGCCTACTTGGTATTTTTTGGTTTTGCAGTTCTCGGTGGAAATTTAGCATATGTTGCTTAAATGTTTAATGAAATCCACCATAGAGTGCCAACACAGAGTTGCATTTTAAAGCTGACCGAAATCCCCACCCCACTCCTGTTTTTTTACTTTATTTTTTTGTTATTTCTGGCTTCCCTGGGCAGTGGAGGCTCAATTTTCTAAGCCAATTTTGTCGCACATCGCTGCCGACCAACAAGTAAACAAAAACAACCCAGCCTGGGCACTAAAAATCGAGTGGGGGGTAGTGGGAAAAGGGGCTTTCCAGGACATGGAGCCCGCTGCACAGCCTCTGCATGCAAAGTGAATCTAATAGAATAGTCAAAAGTTGCTGGCAAAGTGCTGCGAGCCCAGCGGCCCGTCAATGGCAATAGATTGTTATGGTTACAGTGTGGAGAGCTGTGTTCTCTCGAAGCAGCTATAAGATAATCCCAAAGTGCCTGTCGGATAAGGTGTGGGAATTTTTGTGCGGGCTATAAAGCAGATGCCTCGGATCGGTGCAGTTTGCCCATTGTTGATAGCGGATTTTCAGGGAAAGCTTTGCTTTTGTCAAAGATGGATTTTTCCAGCCTGAAGTGGAAAATATTCACAAAATATTTTTTACAAAATCAACTTCCTTAACTTTGTCTTTGATTAAATAAATAAAGAATTGGTACAAAGTAAACCTTAAGGCGATCCATAAATTTGATTATGATTATAAAACTAAACTGTTACTAGAAAAAGTTATTGTAAGGTAATAGGATTACTTTTCTATCGCTTGTATCTCTCTAAAACTTTCTGACTCTTTGATATTTCTTAAGGCAACTTCTTATCGGAATTGAATTTTCTCCCACCCCCTCTTTTTTGATTTAAAGGCTTTAAACATTTCTTGAAGGATTTTTATTGGGCCATAATTTGACGCCGAAGTGGATGTCTGTGAGTCTAGAGAGTCAAAACAAACTCAACGACGAGCATTGGGGGAAAACTCAACGGGTTTTTCCTCACTTTTTTTTGGTGCTCGGTTCAAAGCCAGCAATCGACAGGCTGTCAATTAAAATGGAAATGTTTAAGTTTCGTTGGCAATAAAAAGCTGCCAGGGCTCTTGGCCCAGTCCCGAGAAAGTTAGGATGTGCTTGGTTGGGTTCCCGGCTCTCAGTTCTCGGTTTGGTATGGATTGGGATTGGGATTGGGAATGGTTTAGTTGAGCTTGGTTGGTTCATTCATCCAGAAAGAAAGGCAGGTTCTTCCTGCTGCCGCTGATATTCAGCTCCTTCGTTTACCCGCTGTATCCCATTTGAACTTTGACCCAATTTAGCTGCTCCAGGATTGCCTCAGAACTCCTAGTCCTTTTTGGAGGCGAGCTCCTTGTGCCTGCTCGCTGATTGCACGTGGCACACTCACTCTCGCACAGAGAGATATGGCACAGAGTGTGCTACAAATTGAAGTCTTCAGCAACGAGTCACGAAATCTAGAGTAGTAGTCTCTAGCACTGAATATGTGGAACATAGTGCACGGAGCACTGTGGCACGTTGCACGTGTGTTATATTTTCCTATTTCGTATTTCGCATTTCGTTTTCCCTTTGCTGCTGTTGAAAGGAAATTGTGTGATGTGCCTAGTTCTGCATCTAGCCTACACTCTTTGGTGAATACACTGGCAAAAACGGAAAAGAATTTTGAATAAAAAGAAATTGGAAGATTGTAGGCCAGGAAAAAAGATTTCAGCAAAGAGACTTTTTTATCAAGTCTGGTTATAACAAAAAAAAACTGTTTTAAGATCTTTTTAGCTTTATTTTATAATTCCTTTTTATCGGGGCTTTCTGTATGTGAATCTCCATTAAATTATAAAGTTTACCCAGCCCTAAAATTGATTATAATAAAGTTCATAAATCAAGAAAAAAAATAAAATGTGAAATATTTCAATGAAGACCTGTCTCCTTAGGAGCTTTTGCAGTTTAGTTTGACAGCTTGGGGATTGAAACTTCGCACTCGACACTTCTTGCTGTGTATTCACACTGCTAATAGCCGGCAGCTTGTTTAAGCTAGCTTTCCTCCTTTTTCGCAGACAGACAGACAAAGATAGAAGGAGCGAAAGGGGCGGAGAATTGTAAAGTGCGGAGACTTGTCCCTGCTGCAGAGTCGATTTTTATATGCAACTCTATAACAATTCCACAGACGTAGACGGTTACGTGCAATTTCGCCTGGGAACGGACTCCTCGTCGGCACTGTGTGTAAGCCTCGGTTTAAATACAAAGATCTCGGCTTTTCACGGCAGAAGGGGTTAAGTGCGGTGGAAAATGGTGGAAAACTGGGGGGGGTACACCTTTCGCCTCCTTTTGCATTTCGTTTACTTTTATGAAAATGGCTTCCATGTGTTCGGCAGAAGTATTTTTAAGGATTGCGCCAATGTGTAATGAACTGCACGGCAACTGGAGTGCTCAGTCTGTGCACTTTCCTCTGAATTTTCCGATTCCCCAGTCTCACTGCCTGAATTTCCCACTGCCTTAGTCTCGGTTCCTCAGTTTTCCTCAGTTTCAGTTTCCTGCCGGGGTCCAGTTTCAGTCCAGCTCTGGTTTATTTGAGTGTGCTTCGAGAGCTTCGTCATTCTTGAAAACTAATTTTATTTACAGGTGGAGCGTTGCTTTTTACTGCCCCCTTTCCCCCCTTTGCCCATTTCGAACCCCCCCTTTTTTCCTCGGACAGGCACTCGATTTATATTGAATAAATGCAAAAGGCGTGTTAATTGACAGACCATGAAGAAGGAAAAATATTTTTGCACTTTTATCGTCCCCCTTCCCTCGGTTCTCCCCCGCCCATGGAACCCAAAAACAAGAACAACAACAACAATGGCTGGAGAGGAAAAGTAGTCGAAGCTTTCAAGCTGCCTTCGTGCTGAACTGCAAAATGACCAGCTAAATGAATGGGGTAGAAATAAAGTGGTAGAAAGGTGAACGGGGGAGGCGGTATAAAAAGCAGTTTGCATCGCTCGGTTTTGCACACTTTTGCCAGCTTTTTGCTGAATGAGTCTAATGATTTGGCTATTCAATTTGTAAACCAATCAAGAGGGACGGAAACTTGAAGTCCAGTAGAACTCACTCGATTTAAGGAGTTATAAAGAAGGAATTGAAGTTTATAATGCCAATGTTTCGAGTCCTGCGTTTCTGAAGGGTTACAACCAATTGAACATTGGGTTTGGTATCCAAATATTTGTTTTAAAAAACATAATAAAAATTCTTTAAAATCAAGATTACAATGGATTCTGTTCTACAGCACTAATAACACATAGTATCCAATATTTAAGTATTATAGAACTATCTAACTGGTACTTATAATAACCATCTAAAATATTTTGGTTTAAATATATTTAATAATATTGACCTATTCTCTTTGTACTTGTATTTCAGATATTTCCAATGATATCATCAGAGTATCCAATCTTCGTATGGCAATGGATCCAGTTGCCTTATTATAAAAGTTCTTCGAGTTGGGAATAATGTGCAAGTTTTGGTAAGTACCGTTAAGTCGTTTTTGGCGCATTGAGAGCTGGCTGAATGAAAATGATGCAAGGCAATTATGGTAATTTGTTGCTGCTTCTACTTAACCTGTTCTCCTATTTTATTTTGTTTTTATTATTAATAGCCGAGTAAAAACAGAGGGGGACGGCGCCTATAAATCTGACGGCCAGTGGCGTATATTTTATGACGCTTGGCTGGTTGCGTCTTCCCTGCGTTTGCCCCCTTAACGCCCCCTCATTTTCTCACTTTTCCAAGCTTTTCTCCAACGCCCGCTGGTCATTTTAAGTTGCGTGCGGCACTAAATCGTTCATATTTATCTATAATAAAGGCAATTTTGAGCCATTCCCCGTAGCAGCCACCACCCTCTGAGACCCGTGCCACCGCCTCCGCAAACCTCCGTTTTCCTTACACAGAGGTACTGGCAGAAAAATCGATTAAACAAATCGAGTAAAGTGTTGCCAGTGCCTGCCAGGCACGCCATATAGCAGTATATGGTACATGGACATAACTACTCTGGTACACGGCAAAAAAAATTATAAATGTAATCTATTTATTTCTAACTATCATATATGTATATCTACTTAATGGTCAGAAAATGATTAATTTCCAAACAAATACATAGTAGGAATATTAACCATAATTTGAAAATATTTAACAATCATAAAATCTCCTTTTATAGGTTGCATTAAATCTATCCTTTAAAGATAACCCAATTTATGTACAGAAAATTATTAATTTCTAAATAAATAAATATTTATAAACATTTTCATAATTCATTATCGAACATATATCATTCATAATCACATACATCTCTAATTAAAACATATCGAGTCTATTTGAGGCAGAACTCATAAATATTTTTGTCTGTGTATATACATGGCATGTAGGTGGGGACGTTTGGTCTATAATTATATGCCTGGCCCCCATTTCGCCGCCTCTGTTTGTTGGGGCCAACATGCGTTGCCTTGGCTACGCGTCGTCAATAAGCCAGGCTCACACACTCGCACACTTGTGGTAAGGATACAAACTTGCCCTTACGCACACACTCGCTCACTCACACTCACACATTCGCAGACAGGACACTGAGCATGAAATGCAAATAATATTTATTTATTTTTTCTGTCCACTTTGGCTTGAGGGAATAATTTAATACTGCATATGGAGCGTCACTTGTTTGTAATTGAGTTCACTATCGCTGGTTATGATTAATTATTTACTGGGCTCGCAGTAACCTTTAACCTTTATAATTGTTCAACTGTAAAGCTCGTTGTTTGGTCCTTCTGTTTGCAATTTAAAGCTTTTATTTAAATTTCTTTGGGGGTTTCTTTAACTTGTTTTATTTTCCTCGTTTTTTTTTTTTGGTTTCTCACCTCGCGTGTCCTTGCGGCGAGTCCTTGCGCAATTTGATCGCAAATATCAGGCAAAACCTTTGGGTATAACTTTTGATTTTGTAGATCTTTTGACCCAGCGACATCGTCCCACTGCGATCTTATGTCACCATTTTCGAGTACTTTCCACCCTCTTCTCTCTCTTAGTTCATTATCGGTGTTTTGGTATTTTTCTCGGTACAAGGGTAAGTTTTTTAGGTATTCCTACTGGTTAGCTGCTGTTGCGACTGCTGCCATTTGCCACTGAGTCCAACTGCCAACTGGCGTGCCAGGACAATGCGTGTTTTGTTTTGGCCTCCCCCAGTTCGCGCTCGTATCCTAGCAATATGTGTTGGAGCTTTCGCATTCCTTTTGCGTGCCAGAGGTCCTTGGCTCGATAGGCTAAGCTGGCTAAGCCGCAGGGCTAACACATCCACATCCACATCTAGGTGTATCCAACTCCTGCAGAAAGGACTTCGTGGCTAGCCCTCGTTCCCAGCGAGAGAGAGAGAATTCAAGAGAATAGAGCACTCGGAAAGTCCCTCAGTGAAAAATGGAATCAGAGTTAGTTTAAGAAAAAAATATTATATTTACATTTATTCGTCACTAATTTTTAATTCTTTCATTTTAATAATATCTTCCCTATTCTTTCATTTTTTACGTTTGTATTAGTTTTTAAAGAATTATTATTTTTAGGCAGCTACAATAATTAATTATAGTTTATAGCAAGGTCTATAATAACCATCTAACTTTAATGTTGCACCTTCCAAAAATAATTTTGACGATTCATATCTCAATATTATAACTTGATATTAAAATGCGTTTCAAAAATATTTTTCTTTCTGTGTAAATAACGCTTTTGCTGGTTGTTTGGGTAGTACCAACAAGAAATCGTTAGGCCGTTGCCAAGGCAGCCACCACCCACCCTACACCGATTCCTTTGGGAAACTGAGGCTTACTTAATTTGTATAAAAATATCTCACTTCTCTAGGCCTAAGATTTCAATTAAAGCAGACGCTTCAAGTGCCCGCAATTGCGGTAATTAGAAGAGCAATCACAGTGACAGGACCTACGCATATCGATCTAATTGTGGGGCGGTGGTTGGGTTGGGTGGCTTGGGTGGTTGGCTTAGTTTCGGTGAAGTGGTGGGTGGGATGGCTTCATTGTTTCAGTGGTTCAGTTGGTTCAGGTCAGACTATGCAAATTTACTTGGCATACATCGCTTTGTCCCTGTCTATGTCGCTTTCCCTTCCGGCCTTGCTATTCCTCGTCCGCTTCAACCTCCTCCATCTCGTATAACCCCTATCATTTGGATTCCCCCGCTTTCTCTTGTGGCTGCCCATCGGTTGGCATAAATAACAAGAGAAACCTGTTAATCGGGCTAATTGCATAAATTATAATGGATAATGGGCACGCACACTGCGGCAGCAAGGACATTTCAGCCAGGATGGCACCACAAAACAAACGTTTTTATTTAAACCCAAATAGGGGGCTTTAAGTTAAGTTCTATAATATATCTAGAAATTTAAAATTCTCTCTTATAATTTATAACTATAATCATTAATATTATTTCTTTTAAGTTTCAAAATAGGTAATATGATTTTAAAAATATTTTTCATCTGTTTTGAACACGATTTAAATTCGTGTAATAATATTTCTCCGTGCACTTTTCTCCACCCTCTTCTATAGGCTTTTCGCGATGTCAGCGGCAGACATCTCCAGCGGTGGGGCAACTTCAAAGTGAAAATCAATTTCTCTTTAAGCAATTTCCAATGGAATTGAATTTTCATTAGACAACAACACAGCAGAAGAGCAGCGAAATGGGGGAGGGATTTGCCTGGTTGCCGGGAAACGGCAACTGGCGATTGAATTTCCATAAATCCCGGCCGCGACCCCTTAACCCGTTTCTGCCATTTACTGACACTTAAAGGCTCTGCGAAACTTTTGTTTCCAGGCGGAGTTTTGGCCATGAAAGGAAAAGGAAAAAAATACAGGAGTTGGGCGTTTTGATTGACGTCTGAGCCGCGTGTCATTTGCCACAACCTGATTTTCTGCCACTGACAGTTTTTTGACTATAATAAAAGCCAACTGCCTGCATAAATAAAATTTTGGAAATTGACAAATCGAAGGGGGTTGAAATTTGTGGAGACTCCTGTGCGTCCTTTGCGACCACAAGTATGTCACAAATAATTTTAATTATTTAGAAAATCAGCAGCATACACAATTTTGGGCCCAGCCAAGGATAACTATCCCCTGTGAGAACCTTTTGCTGGACAAAATCAAGCAGAGCTAACCAAATTTATTTTATGCCATTCAAAACTTTCTCTCAGGACTCGACTCATCACAATAAATCAAATCAAAAGCTTTCCAGAGGACAAAAGGGGACAGTCCGGGGCAGGGCTACCATTGTTCGGCTTGCCCTGTCTGCCACTCATCAATTTTTGAAAATTATTAAAAATTTAAATGGAATACCAAAATACTTGAAATGCACTCCACACAAAACCATGGAGAGCTGGCCATAACAAGGATATGGGACTATATCCGTCCTTCGGTGGATGGGTTGTTGTCGTTATTTGTGTGTCAGCCATGTCAAACATTTTCCCAACCCGCTCGATGCGATGCGTATGAAACTTTAATTTTAATTGTTCACCAAATGCGCCGGACAAAATATGTTCACATGCCATATACATATAAGGTAGTATAACATATATGCACATCTAGAGGATACTTGTTTTTCGAGTGGTATACCATTCAATAAATATATATATATATATTTACAGCCGTCGAGAGAGGGAATCTTTTTTATATGACTGACGTTTTAATGGCCGAAATGAAAAGCCTTTGACCGCTGCTACAGAGATTTTCCAGCAATAAAAACACGCTGCTCAAATAAAAATTGAAGAACAATTGTGGGCCACCGAGTCACCTCCTTTGCGATGTAAAGCCCTTTTAATGACTTCCACTTTATTGACTTTCTTGCCGCAGCGGAAAGAAGCAGAAGGAGCAGCAAGGGCAAGGACCCAAAGTGTCCGTCATTAGCCGGCAATCCGACCGAAAAAAATCCATAATTATAGTGCACCTTACATAACGCTTCATTAAGATAATGATAATGAATACGTGACCGCAGAGCGAGCGTTGGAGAGAGGGAGAAAGAACGACACTTCCTGCTAGGTAATGGCACGCATGAGGATATGCCGGTATGCATGTGCCTGTGTGTGTGTGCTTTTGTGGGATATGAACTGCTCATGTGTGCGTAGGGCTTGTGTGAGTGTGCTAGTGGACTCTGCATATCCTTCTCGTGTAAATGTAACCAGGCCCGAGGCCAGTCCACAAATGGCCAGCGGGCAAGTGGCATTAACCACTTACCGCCCCAAAGGCAGCGGTGCTGCGTGACAGACCTACACCGAGAGAAAATGTGCTATAGAACAAATATAATATGGTTTATAAGTAAGATGATAATCTATACTCTCTTCTCATCTGAACACTTCTAATTTATTTTGTAGGCATGTTAGAATACGTTATTTTATTAGACAAACTAATTGGGATCCAATTACTCAAGTTATGGAATCTAGAAGTGCTAGAAGTCATGGAAATTCGAAAAAATGGAACATGAAAATGGGTTAAAATTTAGACCACCGCTAAAATAAAATATTTAAATGTAGTTTATTAGAGAATTCAAATACAAATTCATAGAGGTATCCCACGTCTTAATCGGGATCCAATTTCTCAAGTTATGGAATCTAGAAGTGTAGATTTGGGGGCCCATTCTGGAAGCCATTGGAAATTTTAAAAAATGGAACATGAAAATGGGTTAAAATGTTGACCCCCGCTAAAAGAAAATATTTTAATGTAGTTTACTAGAGAATTGAATTACAAATTCATAGAGGTATGCCATCTCTAAATTGGGACCCAATTACTCAAGTTATGGAATCTAGAAGTGAAGATTTGGGGTCCCATTCTGGAAGCCATTGGAAATTTGAAAAAATTTAACATGAAAGTGGGTTAAAATTTTGAACCCCGCTAAATGAAAATATTTAAATGTAGTTTATTAGAGAATTCAAATACAAATTCAGAGAGGTATTTCACGACTTAATCGGGATTCAATTACTCAAGTTATGAAATCTAGAAGTAGAGATTTTTGGTTCCATTCTGGAAGCCATTGGGAATTCGAAAAAATGGAACATGAAAATGGGTTAAAATTTAGACCACCGCTAAAATAAAATATTTAAATGTAGTTTATTAGAGAATTCAAATACAAATTCATAGAGGTATCCCACGTCTTAATCGGGATCCAATTACTCAAGTTATGGAATTTAGAAGTGTAGATTTGGGGGCCCAAATGAAAATGGGTTAAAATTCTGACCCACGCTATAAGAAAATATTTAAATGTAGTTTATTAGAGAATTCAAATACAAATTCAGAGAGGTATTTCACGACTTAATCGGGATTCAATTACTCAAGTTGTGAAATCTAGAAGTAGAGATTTTTGGTTCCATTCTGGAAGCCATTGGAATTTCGAAAAAATGGAACATGAAAATGGGTTAAAATTTTGACCCCTGCTAAAAGAAAATATTTTAATGTAGTTTATAAGAGAATTCAAATACAAATTCATAGAGGTATCCCACGTCTAAATCGGAATCCAGTTACTCAAGTTATGGAATCTAGAAGTGCAGATTTGGGGTCGCATTCTGAAAGCCGTTGGAAATTCGAAAAATTGGAACATGAAAATGGGTTAAAATTTTGACCCCCACTAAAAGAAAATATTTAAATGCAGTTTATTACCGAATTTTAAGACAAATTCATAGAGGTATCCCACGTCTTAATCGGGATCCAATTACTCAAGTTATGGAATCTAGAAGTAGAGATTTTGGGTTCCATTCTGGAAGCCATTGAAAATTCGAAAAAATTCAACATGAAAATGGGTTAAAATTTTGACCCCCGCTAAAAGAAAATATTTTAATGTAGTTTATTAGAGAATTCAAATACAAATTCATAAAGGTATCCCACGTCAAAATCGGGATCCAATTACTTAAGTTATGGAATCTAGAAGTGAAGATTTGGGGTCCCATTCTAAAAGTCATTGGAAGTTCGAAAAAATGGAACATGAAAGTGAGTTAAAATTTTGACTCCCGCTAAAAGAAAATATTTTGATGTAGTTTATTAAAGAATTCAAATACAAATTCATAGAGGTATCCCACGTCTTAATCGGGATCCAATTACTCAAGTTATGGAATCCAGAAGTAGAGATTTTGGGTTCCATTCTGGAAGCCATTGGAAATTCAAAAAATTGAACATGA